TGTCGGTGTCAAAACCGGCGGATCTCGGGTAGGGGGTCCCGAACTGTGCGTCTAAGGCTGATGGTAACAGGAGGCGGGGGACACAATGTTTACCCAGGTTCGGGCCCTCTCGATGGAGGTAATACCCTACTTCCTGCTTGATTGATCTTGATGATATGAGTATTACAAGAGTTGATCTACCACGAGATCGTAGAGGCTAAACCCTAGAAAATAGCCTATGATTATGATTGTTCTTGTCCTACGGACTAAATCCTCCGGTTTATATAGACACCGGAGGGGGCTAGGGTTACACAGAGTCGGTTACAAGGGAGGAGATCTACATATCCGAATTGCCAAGCCTGTCTTCCACGCAAAGAAGAGTCTCACCCGGACACGGGACGAAGTGTTCAATCTTGTATCTTCATAGTCCAATAGTCCGGCCAAAGTATATAGTCCGGTTGTCCGAGGACCCCTTAATCCAGGACTCCCTCAGTAGCCCCTGAACCAGGCTTCAATGACGACGAGTCCGGCGCGCAGATTGTCTTCGGCATTGCAAGGCGGGTTCATTCTCCGAATACTCCATAGAAGATTTTGAACATAAGGATTGTGTTCGGCTTTGCAAAATAAATTCCACATACCACCGTAGAGTATATTATTCCACAAATCTAATTTGTTGACAACTTTTTATAACGTGACGTCCTGCCGTGGCCTGTCATTACGAACCGTTTTCCCAGCCTGCCACTCCACGTGTTGCGAGGCGGTTTTATTGGCACGTCTTGTCGAAGCAGAGATCGTGTTCCCCTTATCACGGGATTCTCATCAATACGGGTGTGGGTAACCCAATCGTGCTTGTTAGTATGACTCCTCGATTTTAGGCAAGTTCCAAACGGCCACGCGGAGGACGCTTGGTATTCACCCTTTTTATAAAGGGGCCAAGGCCTGTCCTTTTCTTCTCGCGCTCGACCCTTCCCTTCCCCCACCTCGAGTTCCAACACCCAAGGCTCAGGCTAAGCGCTTCGGACCTTCAACCATGTACGGATTCAACCTTCAAGGTCGGTGGATGGCCTCCTCTCTCACAGAGGAGGACATCAAGAAGCTAAGGGAAGCCAGGTATCTGACCGCCGAAATCTCGCACAGGCTGAATGCTCAAGGGCAGGTCATCCCCACTCCCGAACCCAACGAGAGCGTCGTATTTGTTTCCCGCTTCCTCTGAGGGCTAGGCTTTAGTCTTGATCCCTTTGTTAGAGGGCTTATGTTCTATTATGGGCTCGATTTCCACGATCTAGCTCCAGATTCCATCCTTCACATCTCATCGTTTATCGTCGTGTGTGAGGCCTTCCTCCGCATCACCCCACACTTCGGCTTATGGCTCAAGACCTTCAACGTGAAGCCGAAGATGATCGATGGGCGACAAGCAGAATGCGGAGGTGCCATAATAGGCAAAGGCGCCGACGCTCTATTGCCAAAGGGTGCCTTCCCGGAGGTGTCCAACTTATGGCAGCGGTAGTGGTTTTACATCACAGCTCCCCGAAGTATGAAGTGGGCAGCTGCCCCCGCCTTCCGCTCGGGCCCCCCGCTGCAAATGGCATCATGGGTCAACAAGGGGCTAGACTGGGGGCCAGTTAATGACATGCTGACATTGCAAAGTCGCATCAGAGATCTCCTTAAGAGGGATGTCAGTCTTGTCAAGGTAATGCAAGTTATGCTAGTTCGTCGGGTCCTGCCATGCAAACGTCGATCTCTCCGTATGTGGGAGTTCAACCCGGAAGGACCGCGAACTATTCAACAATTCTTCGGTGTGATGCTCGAAGAGATGTATGGATTGTTCTTCGGATAAGGAATAAAGTGTCCGGACACCACCAAGGATGCGGGTCTCAACTGCAACCGTCCAGATACCCACGTAAGTAATTCTGTGGCCGAACATGCTGTCTTTTTATTTGTCACAACATCATTCTGAAAAAAATCGCTCTTGGCCAAGACTGGATAAGAAATACGAAGATGATCAGGTGTTCGGCCCCCCTTCCCGAAGGCTCACCGGATCCTGTACTAGCCAGGATGCTTGAGCACGCACCTTATCAAGTGCCATCAGGGGAAGATAAAGGGAGGAATAAAGAAGCCGAAAGCGGGCTTCACGCATTACTCATCCAAACCAGGGGAATTAATGTCTCCGCAAAGGAGGATAATCGAGGAGAAGAATCTAGAATCCCCTCTCCAAAAGGAAGGAAAAGGACCACCTCTGAAGACTTGGAAACGAGG